GAACTAAATGTAGTCATGGAGTTTATAACAATGTTTTGGTCAACAACAAACGGCATTCATGACAGTGCTTCCATGAGATTATGCTGCCTAGTGGTGTAGTGAGAAAATAGGCCAAGGGCACATTTCTCAGAATGTACCCTCGTTACTGACACATGACTGTGATAGAGCAGATGGGAGGAAGGACAGACAGACAGAAAGAGAATAAATACCTAACAATACCCAGTTGCTGCAGGTCAGTCAAGGAACCCTCACACTTACGTAATCTTCTGTTCCATAAATGCATCTGGCTCCCGAGCCGTGTAGGATGTGATTTCCAAGCCCACCCCAAAGTCTTCTGGTACTTCTACCCTTTTTTCAGGGGGTACAAAGATGGGGGCTTCATTGATGTCCAGCACATCTACAGTGACAGTGGCCGTGGAGGTCTGAAGAATCACTTCAAAGGGGACCGCATTTGTTGCCGTCACATGTAGAATGTATTGCTGTTTGGCCTCAAAATCCAAGCCCTAGAGAGCAGAAAAAATAAGGTTAAAAAAATAAAATACAAACCAGGCGTGGTGGCACACACCTGTAATCCCAGCCCTTGAAAGGCTGAGGCAGGAAGATCACCATGAATTCGAGGCCAACCTGGTTTAAGTGAGTTTAAGTCCAGCTGGAACTACATAGCAAAACGTTGCCTCAAGACAGCCAAAAAGAAATGAACAAAACAAAACACAAAGGGGGACTGGGGATTTAGCTTAGCGGCACAGCGCCTGCCTGGCAAGCGCAAGGTTGTGAGTTCAATTCCCGGTACCAGAGAAAAACCAAAACAAAAAGAACCAAAACACAAAGGGATGGGAGGAGCGGGCATAGCTCAGTGGTAGAGTATTTGCCTTACATAGCAAGTTTGATCCCTAGCACCATATCAAAAATAAATAAATAAAAGAAACATTTCATGTTAATATTTTAAAAACTTTTTAAAATCCTTAACTATTGGTTTGGTTTGGTAACATACCAGTGGTCCTCAAACATGTCTACTCACTTGCTAAAGAGGAAGTGAAAGCTTGGAAGCCAGGCCAGGCAACCATTAACTCAGACTAACTTCAGCAACTCACCCAACATCTTAGGCTTCAAGTTTCCAGAACATTTTCCAAAAAAGTTGTATTTGCACCACTTCTAAAGTAGTCCAGCAGCCAGGCGTGGTGGTGCATACCTATAATCCCAGCACTCAGGAGGCTGAGGCAGGAGAATCGCTGTGATTTCGTGGCCAGCCTGGGCTACAAAGTGAGTTCAAGGTCAGCCTGAACTGCATAGTGAGACCCTGTCTCAAAAAGACAAAAAGCCCAGCAAAGTAGCCAAAGGCCAGTAAGCCATGTTTCCTCTCGTTGCAAAATGGGAAGGGAATTGGGAAAGGTAAAATGTTCCTGGGAAAGAGCCTATTAAAGCACGAGTGTTATGGTTGATGCATTGTGTCAACTTGGAAGTCTAGAGGTTTGGCTAAGTGACTCAGCAGGGAGCCAGGGTGCTTACTTCATATACATCCTGAGCCTATGCAAGAAGAGGGCGTGGAGATTATGTGACAGCCACATGCCCCCTGGGTGGGGGTAGCCTGTTTACAAAATAAGGGAGAAAAAGAGGCTGCTTGCCACCATTCCTCCCTTTTGCTCTTGTTGTTTTTGCTGTGTTCTGCGGCCGGAAACATCTGCCCTCTGCCATGTGCCACTCTGCCTTGGAGCCAGCCAAGTATAGACTAAAACCTCCACAAACTGTGAGCTAAATAAACCTTTCCTTCCTTAATTTTGGGCGTTGGGTATTTTGTCTCAGCAACAAAAAAAAAAGTAACTAAGACAACGAGGTACTTCCATTTCAATTTGAATAAAGTCCCGCAAACCCCACGAGGTGAATCCACCAGTGTAGGAAAACTGCCCCTCTTCAACCCCTCCAGTGCTAATCTGCCTCTGAGAAGATGCTGGGGACAAGGGCGGGCCACCGCTGGGGTGTCGTGTTCGGCATCTTGCCAGGCACATACGCACCTTCGCTGTTTTGAGAATGCCGTTGTTGGTTTTTGGGTCTGTGACGACAATAAACTGCTTGTCAGGATCATTTACGACGGTGTACACGGCCTGCCATGCCGGGGTATTGGGGGCATCATCATCAGTCACTTGGAGCGTAGTGATGACCGCATCGGCCTCGTTCTCAGGCACCTGACCCTCGTACTGCAGAGCGAAGAGAAGACGGGTCACTGAGGATACCCTGATGCCAAGCGCAGAGGCCGGTCTCGGGCTAAAGGAATCCAGCCTGAGCCCAAGCCTGGAGCAGGTGACGGGCATGAGTCTTGGAGGAAGTCCCCGCAGTAGGAGTAGGGCCTCGTTTCCGGTCAGTGGGGCCCTAGTACTTATGAGCGTCCTCCACTGAAGCAGCCTTCCAAGGCCGTCACTGTCCCAGCTGCACAACGCATATGGCTCAGCCTCTGACCGTGATTCTTAGTCAAGTACGCTAAGGTTTAACCATTATTTTCCCCCAGCCCTCATCTCTTCTCTATCAATAATCTTCATAAAATAAATCTGGTCATTATAAGCTTCTGCTTAAAACCCTTTGACAATGTCCCCTCGTACTCAGAACAAATTCTAAAACTTTTACCCCAGCCTAGAAGGTCCTATAGGACCAGGCCTTATTTGGTTCACTACACTTTACTACTGGCTGTTTTTCAGTTCTTCCTGTGCGTGGAGCTGCTTCTTTATTCAGGGTCACACACTGCTGAGGATGCACTTCAGTCTTTGTCCCCACTCCCACCCATCCCATCTTTTCCTGACCATAACATTCACTAGCTAGCCTGAGGATGAGCTTTCAAAGAGCTCAATCATGAGCAGTTTTAAAACTCAGTTCATGAACTACAAAGGACCCTTCTTTGGACACCTTCTAAGGCACAGCAGAATTACCGTGGTTGGGTTGAAGATGGGAGGATTATCGTTGACGTCAGTCACTGTGATCACGGCCTTCGCTGTTGTGCTTAAGCCTTCGCCTTGAAGGTCAGCAGCCTGAACCTCCAGGGTATACGTGGGGTAACTCTGCAGATAGATCAAACACACTTAAGTCAGGACCAGTGCGAATGGCTACGTCAGGCGCAGCCCAGCCTCTTGCATGTATAAAACCAGAATATTTGACCATATGTTTAACTGCCAGTCTGTCTAGGCACCTAGGCAGAGAATCTTTTTTTTTTTTTCTTTTTGGTACCGGGAATTGAACTCAGGACCTTCCGCTTGCCAGGCAGGCGCTGTGCCACTGAGCTGTATTTCCAGCCCCTGGGCAGAGGATCTTTGAGCAGATGTTTAGATGCAAAGCTCAGACCACTACACTCACTGACCACTGGTCTTGGCAGAATTTTACACTGTCCATGGGACTTCACAAAAAAGCATTTGCCTTCAGCTCCCACTGAATCCTCCTGACCCCTGTACTGACCTCTCGGTCCAGCCCGGTGGTGACCACACTGATGACCCCTGTGATCCGGTTGATGGTAAACATTTGGCTGTGAGGCAGTGTGGGCTCCTGGCTGAGGATGGTATAAGCGATCTCGGCATTGTAGGTGTTAGGGTCATCTGCGTCAGTGGCTGAGACCTGCATCACAGATGTTCCTGGAAGCATGAGGGAACGGGAAGGTTATTAACGGTTATACTTTGGGAACTGCTCAGTGCTGCCCAGCCCCATTCTGCCCTGAGTGATGAAGGAGGGGCCCAGGAGATCTTTGTCACAGACACCTTGTTTTCTATTTGTAGAATTCTCACCAAATCGCCAGGGGAGGAAAAAAGCATTCCACCATGAACTGTGTTCAGAGAACTCAAACACATTTTTAGGTGGGAGTTGGAGGGGAAGAGGAGAGCTATGAATAAATAACCTCTAACTAAAACATCTTGCTACGTCTTTTACACTGAGTTGAATAGTGTATGAAGTAGGAAAGAATCCAGAATTCTTCAAAATTGGCTTCTCAGCCATAGCTTCATTAAGAATAGCTGTTAGAAACGTTGCCTTCAGGGTGGAAGAAAACACTTCTAACACATGACTGACAAAAGACCAGCATTCAGGACATCTAGGAAGTAGGAGCGGGGCACAGTGGCACCCAACTACAATGCGGGTATGCACAGACACACAGAGCGGCTTCTGAAGACATTGTATCCATAGAAAACCCCGACTTCAGTGACCTAAGCTCCAGACTCCAGCCCAAACACACTGCAGGCTCAAAGAATCCAAGTGTCTCTCTAGGCATCAGGCCCTTGGGACTGGACGTACCTGGAAGAGCACCTTCCATGACAGATCCCTCAAAGACCTCCTTGATGAACTGAGGCCTGTTGTCATTCTGATCTGTCACCGTGATCACAATCTCCATGGGATCCTCGACTGCGTTCCCATTCGACGACACAGCGTGAGACAAGAGCTGCGAGAAAGAAGGGAGGGTTACTCGGGCCCTGGTGAGGAAGAGGAGGTGTAGCGAGGGGGTCCCACCAGAGCAGTGGGTGCTATCTGCCCTCTACTCCTTCTTCCTGTGAGGTCCCAGTGCTGCGGTTTCAGTGAGACTATGATGAGTTAAGACCCATAGCCTGGACGGGGGACACCCACTGACATCCCGTTTCCCACAGAGAAGACTGGGGCATCAGAACTAGAGGCAAAGACAGAAGCTTAAAAGTATTCTTATTTTAGTCAGGCTGATGTTTGGCCTGGCCACTCCGGTCAAGTGCTTCTTCCAGATTTCCCTGCATTTAGCATCAGTGTATCACCTCCCTCTTTCCTAAACTCATGTTTTTACCTTGTCTCAGCTGTGGTTCTGGCTCCCCAGTATCATGACTATCCTCTTACTTTAAAGAACTTCCAGTTCCCAGAACAGACTTATGGGTAATGCATGAAAACTTTTATCACTGTTTTTTGGAGACAGAGTTTCACTATGTAGTCCAGGCTGGTCTTGAACTCACAGTGATCCTCCTGCCTCAGCCTCCTGAGTGCTGGGATTACAGGTGTGCATCACCATGCTCAGCATTTATCATTTTTAATAAGGAAAAAATTAATGCCAAATTTTCCCAGGTTCTCCTATCATTTCACCTTATCCATAGGTCAAGAGATAGCAAGTGAAGCTCCTCACATGCCATGGCATCTGCTCTGGGAATCCAATGGGCTGACCAAAAAACTTCTGGACAGATGTTACACCATGGTCAGCAAGCTTCCAAGATACTCACAGTGTAATTGGCAATTTTTTCTCTATCCAGAGGCTCTGTCACCATCAGCCATCCTGTTTCTCTTTCAATAATAAACACACCAACTGGGGGTGTGTCAGCTCCTTGGCCAGTGATGCTGTAGAAAACCTTAGTTTCTTTGTCCCTGTTGGATTTGATCTGAAGAAAAAGCAGAAAGAAATAGAATTGGCAAGATCATGATGCGGTATCATTTTCCTTTTTACACCTCGACCCTTCTCTGCCAAATTCTTCCCAGAGAAATAGAGAATTTTCTTCTCTACCTGAACCAGCCTTTTAGGAAATGGGCCTTTTTCATTTTCTGAGCAGCTGATGGGCGGGATAACCCAGTCTCTCTTCTGCCTTCTGAGACCATGGTGGAAATCGGGAAATTTGATCACCTCTATCTGTGTTCCAGGGGAATTGTCCTGAAAAGAAAGGAGACGAGGAACAAATGAGAAAACTCAAGAGAGAGAATATAGGTCTAAGAATCCAACTTACGTGGTCAGCATCCCAAACCTTCTGAGAGCAGTTACCGTTTTAACTTAACAACACATGCTTTTCTCGACAGATTATTTATACCTTCCCAAATGAACAGCCAAGACAAAAACCAATGAATCTCTTTGCCAGTTAGGAAGTGGAATGTCTCCCAGGGTAGCATTATTGGAAAGTGTTTAAAAATTTAGGGCAGTGGTGGCAACCCTACGGCACATGTGCTGCGAGGGGCTTGCAGAGCCTTCTCTGTCATACGTGAGCCTCGTCACCCCAGCATCATTCCAGCAGCCGAGCACTGTTTAATTGCAGTGTGTTGGAACTTGGTGATAAATAAGTGAGCTTTCGGTTACAGTTTGAGCGCTCAGTCTCTAAAAGGTTCTCCACCACTGCTTTAGGGGCTGGGGCTCAGCAACAGTCTTTAGATCCGCACTGGTGCCCCCTCAAAGTGTGCTGTAGGAGGTAAGCAGTTTGCTCTGCTACATGTTCCTGCCTTGCCATGTGGTGCCTTCATCAGGGGACCAAATTATTAGGGCCACTTGATCTTGAACTAGAACATCTGAAGCCACGAGCCAAAATAAAACTTTTCTCTTTATAAATTAATTGCTTCTGGTATTTTGTTACCAGGACAGAAAGATGACTGAAACAGCTACAAAATAAATATGTTTTCTTTTAACCCTTCTTAGTGTCCAGTAAAGGTAATCATGCATACACAGTTACAGGTTTGAGAGTTTTGTAATGTGATCTACAAATTATTTCTAGCTTATGTGATATAAATGTCATGTTTGTAGCAACATTATATTCTGTTGATTTAATGGTAGAGATTATCTAATAACTAGACCCTAAGATGTTTCTAATTTCTTTTCTCTTATGTTCTTCCTAGAATATAGTTCCTCAAAAGGGAATTGTCATCCAAAACAAGTTAAATTTTAGGAACCGCTACTAGGAATACTTTGTGATCAGTACAAATCTCTTAACCTCAGTGTCTTAGTTACTTTTCTCATTGCTGAGACAAAATACTCAACACCCAAAGTTAAAGGGAGAAAGGGTTCCTTAGCTCACAGTTTGCAGAGGTTTCCGTTTACTATTGGTTGGTCCAAGGCAGGGTGCTATGGCAGACAGACGTCACAGAGAACCAGTTTATGGTGGCAGAAGACAGCAAAAGCCACAAGCAAGGGCAAGACAAGCCTCCTTCTGTCCCTTATATCTTATCTGGGTTACTTAGGGTGGGGAGCACTCACACCTTAATCCTAGCACCTTTGATCCTAGCACTGCACCATGAATCAATTCTAGGGTCACACACTCTAGATCCAGCCACGTCTGAAAAAGCCCCACCTATGACCACATGAGGCTGTGGGGAGACATCTAGACACAAGCCATAACACTCATCGTGTCATATCTAGGAGGGTTCCATTTGTTCTAACAGAAACTGTTGGGTCAGAATTTAAAAAAAAAAAAAGCCTTGGAGACTTGAAGTTTTTAGCATAAAGATAACTTTATACTCACTCAGGGAAATAAAAGAGTTGAAGATAGAAGAAAAATATCTTTCAAATTATTTTTTTTTTGGTACCGGGAATCAAACTCAAGACCTCAGGCTTGCCAGGCAAGCGCTTATGCCGCTGAGCTATATCCCCGGCCTGCAAATTATTATTTAAGCGTTTTAGAGCAATTAGTGGTAACACAGTAAAATTTCTACAGGAAATTTCTGTCTCCCTCATACCACATAAGAATACGCACCCGTAATCACGGATCACTGCCTGCCAAGTTTCACTGAAGATGCAAAAGAAAGGTATGATGTATGACCAGGCATCATCCCAGAGCCCTTTCCCAACCCTGCACCCTGGCCGTGTGCGCATGTGCCACACACGTGCAGACACACACACCTCTGCCCTCCCCGTCCTCCTGCAGAGGCAGCCAACCTGAGTCAAAGGCTGGGCAGCATGGCTCTGAATCTTCACAATGGCACCTCCTTGTTCAGGACAGAGCAATTCTCCCCACCAGGACACAGTGTCCTCGTGTCTAAAATGGGGGTGGTGACGGTATTAGTATCTACGTCATAGTGTTCTTAAGGATTAAATGAGCTACTGGTATGGCATGTGAAGTACAGCCACGGTGAGCAATCAGGCCTTGGTGAGTGAATCCAAATCCACTTGCCGTATTGACAGAGACGGCAAAGATCATGCCTCGCTGATATCAGGGCTACAGAATATTTTCAGGGAATGATAATAATGACAAGGATTGTGCTGGCTAAACATAACGCTAGCATTTTCATGTGTAAAGTTGAAGGGAATCACACCTAAATCTAATTAACATGAAATTTATCCCTCAGAAAAATAGGGTACCGGGGCTGCAAACAATCTGCTCAATGCTGCACAGGGCGGCCCATGCATGTAATTCCAGGACTCAGGAGGGCGAGGCAGGATATTACCATGAGTTCAAGGCCAGAGTGAGACCAAAGAAAAAGAAAAAGAAAAGAGAGACAAAACCAAAAACCTACTCAAAACTACTCAAAACTTTCACTCAAGCAAAGTGAAAGAAGTAGAAAGTTACATCTATTCTAATACAAATTAAAAATGAAGTAAGGGGTTAAGGTATGGCTCAGAGAGAGAGCACTTCCATGCACAATGCCCAGGGTTTGATACCCAGTGTCCTTTGAACTAGAAACAAACCAAAGTGAACCTCCAACCAGCTTTGGCAGAGTTTGCCATCTACCACCCAACACCCACTTTTTCATTAAATTTTTTTTGAAAAAATTAAAACTTTCTTTAATATATACACATCTCAGTTTTGTACCACACATTGTACCCAAGTAAAAGACTACATTTTTTTTTTTTTTTTGGTCTTTTTGAGGCAAGGTCTCACGATGCAGTTCAGGCTGATCTTAAACTCACTTTGTAGCTCAGGCTGGCCTCAAACTCGCAACGATCCTCCTGTCTCAGCCTCCCAAGTGCTGGGATGACAGGCGTGCGCACCACACCTGGCAAGACTACATTTTTGCAAGAAGCTACACTTGCAGTTAGGTGTGGCCAGAAGGCTAGATAGATTCTAATATGATATAGGTGGGAGTGTTGCTTAAGAATCCCACAAAGGTTTGTTAAGAGGCAGAAAACTAAGCAACACATTTCTGTACTTATCTTTCTCCTTATTGT